CCGGACATTCAGTGCCAACATTGGAAAAATGAATCTGACTATAAACCAAAGTGAAACAACAGTCTGATTTTCATAAGAACTGCCATTTCCTGGGTCAGACCAGAGCTCCATCCTACCCGGTCTCCCGTGTCACACAGGGACAGAGAGTGGATGCTAAAAGGGAGAGGGAACTGCAGGGGATGACCAGGGTTTTCTTCTCACGGCTCCTCTCTCACTGGCAGCCTCCAGCATTTCAGGTGGAAAAAGCTCCAGTTCAGAGGTTGTGCCCCTAACTTCCATGCTCAATAGCTCCTGATGCCCCTTTCCTCCAAGAGTGCTTCCTGTCCCTGCATCACACAGGTGCAGAGAGTGGATGCTGAAAATAAGTATGCAGGGGAGGACCAGAACTTCCCCATTCCCACCCCACCCTTAATTTTTCCTCCTGCTGGAAACCTTCAGCATTTTAGGTCTAGGAAACTCCAATTCAGAGGCTGTGCCCCTAACTCCCATGCTCAGTCGCTCCCAGTGTCCCTCTCCTGTAAGAGCCTGTCCCATCCCACAGGGACAGAGACCAGATGCTGCATGGGAGAGTGAGCTAGGGATGACCCAGGCTCCGCCCCCCCAATCACTTGCAGCCTCCAGCATTTAGGATCCAGGAAATTCGAGTCAGAGGCTATATCCCAGATTCCAGTGTTCCATAGCTCCTGATGCCCCTTTCCTGCAAGAGTTTGTCCTATCCCTGCCTCACCCACACAGACTTGAACGATTGAGCTGTGCTCAGTCAAAATTTGCAGCTGAATTCAGAACAGATTTGACCCTGGAAATGAAGTTAAATCTAAAGAAAAAGCAAGGGCAGAGAGTGGGTGCTGAAAGGAAAAGTGAACTGGGGATGACCAGGGCTTTTTCCCCCCTACAGCTCCTCTCTCACTGGAAATATCCCAGCATTTCAGGTCTAGGGAGCCCCAGTTCAGAGGCTGTGCCCCTAACTCTCGTGCTCAGTAGCTCTAAATGTCTCTTTCCTGTAAGAGCTTGTCTCAACCCTTCATCACACAGGGGCAGAGAGTAGATGCTGCACAGGAGAGTGAACTGGGGATGACCCAGGCTCCCCGCTCTCCCTACCCCCTCACTTGCAGCCTCCAGCCTTTAGGACCAAGGAAGTTTGTAGTCAGAGGCTCTATCCCCAACTCCTCTGTTCAATAGCTACTTCCCTTTCCTCCAAGAGCTTGTCCCATCCCTTCATTACACTGGGGCAGAGAGAGGAAGCTGAAAGGGAGAATGGGCTGGAGATCACCAGGGCTCCCTCACCCTGCCGCCAACTCCCCTCTCACTGGAAACGTTCAGCATTTCATGTCTACAAAGCTCCAGTCCAGCAGCTGTGCCCCTAACTCCCATGCTCAGGAGCTCCCGATGCCCCTCTCCTGCAACAGCTCATCCCAGCCCTTCACCACACAGAGGCAGAGCGCGAACGCTGGCAGGCAGAGGGAGCTGGGGGTACCCAGGGCTTTCCTCCCCCACTCGCAGCCTCCAGACCAGGGTCTGAGGGTCAGTCCGATACCTTGTATTAGACCAACTCCAAGAGTTGGAAAAAATCTTCGTTGGCAGCTTTCAAGCACATATCTTTCTTCAGCTGCCTGACGAAGGGCGTTTGTGCCCAAAAGCTTAGAAACAAACATTTTTCTGCCTCTCGGAGCTGGTCTAATAAAAAGGTCTCTGACTGACCAACAGACCCTGGTCTGCCGATGCCCTTCGACCAGCGGTTCCCAGCCTACGGTGCGCACACCACCAGTGGTGCAGACCCCCTGTCAGCGGTAGGGTCGCGCTCGCAGATACATCGGCATTACTCGAGATAACAAAAACCTGCTTCAGGTTGAGCTGAAAAATGTGCTGGTGGGACTTAAGGCTGCCGCGTTTTACATCGGTAGTGCGCAGCCGGCAGGCGCTGCCCTCGCCCAACACGGCTGCACCCGCCGGCACCCCCGAAACTTGCATCCTCCAGCCCGGCCGGCTCCGCTGCCCCGCACTCGCGATACCCCTTTCCTCCCGCCCCCTCCTCCTCCTCCTCCGTCCCCTCGAGTGCAGGCGAAGCTGAGGGGGCAGCACAACTTTCCCGCCTGTGAAATGGGGGCGCGCCCCCGCTACCCGCGCTGCAGACACCAGTTGCCGCGCGCGGAGTCCGGGGCGGCGCAGCACAGCAGCAACAAGCGCGCGGGGAGCAGGGACCTGGCGCTGCTGCTGCTGCCTCCGCCGCCGCCGCTTCCCAGCCTCCGAGCCCCGCCGCGCACGCGAAACGCAAACCCGCCCCGAGCGCCGCTCTCTTGAGCCCGCAGGGACGCCGTCCGCCCGGAATGAACCATCTCGAGGCACGGGGAGGAGCGGAGACAGTGAGACGTTCGTTTTCCCCGCCCTCCCCTTGCGCGGCGGCCGAGCGAACTCACCTTCCTCCCCCCCTCCCCCTCGTCCCGCGGGGAAGTGGTACGGGGAAGGGTGAGGGGACAACCGCCTTTCCCTTCCCCTCCCCTAGCGCGAGGGGGGGACGGGACCGGCCAGCGCGGGCCGTTAGACGCGGGGGCGCGTGGGGGGAGGGGGCCTCTGCACCGCCCTTCTTTGCTCACAACTGCTGGCATGGCCTGGGCCCCGCCCGGCCGCAGCGCCCTCTGCCCCTGCGGACGGGGTGTGAGGCCGTGCCAGCCTTGCCCCCCGAAACGATCGCATGGGAAGCTCAAAACGATTGCGTTGGCTGCAAAACTCCCGCCCGCTGCAAAACCGTGCACGCAAATAAACCCTGTTCTTGACTTCCCATCGCACCCTGGCAGCACCGGGCCACGTGCACCAGTAGCGGACTTTCTGCTTCCTCCTTTTTCGCTGAGCACTTAGCGTGGAGCCCGCGTCACTTGTGCAGTGTCTTTGCAAATGTTATAAGTGGGCTCATGCCCCCTCCGGGCAGAGGGAGACCCTGGCACTCGTGCCTGGTTGCGCATCTACCCCTCCCCGCTTCATTTTGTTGCAACCCCCTGTTTGTGGCCCTGACAAGCCCCAGGATCGCTGGCCATCTACACAACCAGGAAGGAGGCTCTGGTGGGGGAGAACCGCAGGCACATGCGGGGCATCGTCTGCTCACATCTGTGGGCAGTTTCACTGCTCAGCATCCACAAGTGGCTCTGACTTGTTCGGGGGGCAGCGGGCACAGCCCAGTGGGCTCTGCTTGGCATCCCCTTCCCACTCCCTTGCTAACCTAGAACCTCACTCACCCTTCCTGTTTTCTTTTTATTTGTCCCAAGAAATCAGCTCATGTGCTTGCATTGGCCTTATTAAGGGCAGCTTATAGCAATTCACGATGGGCTGAAGCCCATGCTCTTACAGTCATAGGCACCGACTCCGTGGGTGCTCCAGGGTTCAAGCACATACCAAAAAGAAAAAATGCTTAACCAGAAGCAGCAGCACATTACTTCAACCTGGCTCTGCAGCATTTATAAAGATCAGGCACTTCAGCAGGGCTTTTTGGTGCTTTTAGCTAAAGTTGATTCAATCAGCTATCACAGGGGTGGGCAAGATGCAGCCCGTGAAGCCCCTAAAAAATTTAGAAAATTAATATTTATCTGCTTCTGGTTGCCTGTCATGTGGCCCTTGATGGCTTGACAAAACTCAGTAAGTGGCCCTCCACCCAAAATAATTGCCCACCCCTGGGCTATCAGATAAAGTGCCAAAAAAGCCCCACTAAAGGGCTATATACAGACACTGCAGAGCCGGGTTGAAGTAACAAGCTGCCTCTTGGACCTGTGCTGGGCTCAGCACGGGAATGCACTGAGTTAAATTTAAGTGCTGCTTTTTTTTCCTTAACACCTGAAAGCACCCACTGGCAAAAAACGAAGTCAGTGCCTTTGCTTACAGCACATTAAATAAGCCTGTTTCACACAGGGGCAGAGAGAAGATGCTGAAAGGGACAGGGAGCTGGGCATGACCAGGGTTTTGTTCCCACTGTTCTGTCACTTGCAGCCTCCAGCATTTCAGATAGAGGAAGCTCGGAGGCAGCGGCTGTATCCCTGATGCCTGTGCTCACTAGCTCCTGCTCCCCCTTTCCTCCAAGAGTTTGTCCCATCCTCTTGTGAATCTGGCTGAACTGGCAGCTACCACAGCATCTATCTGGTGGCAACACGTTCCACGCTTGAGTGAAATGCCAGGTGTAAAACTAACACAAGGAAGTCCTTTTTAACTTGCGGCCTACTAGTTTCATCTACAAGTGACCCCTTGTTCTCATTTTGTGCGAGAGAGTACTTCATAAATCCCTATCTACTTTGCAAACTTTTTATTGGAGATGCCAAAAGTGTTATGAAAACTCTTCTTCTGTCCTGAAGGTAGAGACAAGCCAGGGGTAAAGTGCCCTCGTGTTCCTCTCGAGAAACCAAAAGCCTTTGAGCTGGATGCCTGCTGCATTGTTTCCCTAACTGGCAGCTTTCTTCCACTTGGCCCTTTGACTGAGCACTGCTTCTGAACTGGAACTAGAAATAATCTCTCAAACCACTAATCCTAGTCTCGATTCAGATTTTAATCTACCCCAGACCTGACAGATGGACAGACTCATTATCCCATGTGAAGTACCTATAGATTAGCCAAATGAATGCTTTGCCTCTGAAGCCACAACTAATTCTCATTAATTGCCATTTAAACCTTGTGTGTAAATGCCTGTGCTAAATCTATGTTGATGCCAGTCATAACCCAGATGAACCTGCCGAATTTCAATGGTTGTCTGTGTTTAGCCATCAGTTTTGATGATGATGCAGTATAAAGTACTTCTGTTCTACTGTAATAGACAGTGGACTTCACAGTAACAGTACTAAATCCCCCCCACCCCAACCGCCTGCTTTTTTTTTCTTTTTCCTTTTGTATTTGCGTTGTGGAGTAGACTCTCCTGAGTTTCCCACTTTCCTTTTGTCACATATGAATAAGGCACAGAGTTCATTTGTATAGGTTCATCAACTGCATTCCAGCTTTGAATTTTCATAGTATTTTAAATGTTTTGACAGTTCCTGCAGGAAAATGATTATCCCAGTCAGATGCTTCACCTGTGGCAAAATAGTTGGAAATAAGTGGGAGGCGTATCTTGGACTGTTGCAAGCAGAATATACAGAAGGGTAAGTTTGTTTTAAAAAAAAAAAAAAAACCCTCTTTTTGGCTCTGATCCTGCAGTGATGTACCTCCTAGGTGTCCATCCTGTGGCACAGACAACCTCTGTGTGGGGCACATAGTAGTGGCAGATTATGCAAGGAACAAAAAGTAGAGCAGTCGATCAGGCAAGTGAAGGGTATCAGAGTGCTGCTCAGGGGGAGTGTGGAGTTTAAATTTGTGGCATGCCTGCAAAAGAGGTTGGCCTCTACTGATTTATAGTGCTTATGCATTGACTTTAGCAGGACTGAACACAGCAAGTAAAGCCAAGTATTTGCAGGATCAGAATGCTAGTTGGCTATTTGACTACTTCTGTTGCATCTTTCCCAGATATGTAGTTTTCACCAGTCTCACTCCACTCTCACTTCTCTACACAGTGAACAAGGGCACGCATGGCTGGATATTTTCCAGAGGTACCAAGACACTCCCACTTAATGAAATAAAAAAATGTTCAGTAACCCAGCGTTACTGCTTTGTACCTAACTTTTCCTATTATGTGACGGGAGGCTATATTGCAGACTGTCCTGTTATACCCTTCATGTTTATCAAAGCTGCAAGACATTCTGGAGATAATTGCACCAAGTCCAGGGTGGATTAAAAAAATCAAAATTGGACTTTTTAAAATTTAAATCAGATTTTTTTATTTAATCATATTTTAATGTTTTGTTAAGTTTAAAAAAATAAACCTATGTAAAGATAGTTTTACTTTAACATCTCTTAAACCTCAAAGATATCATCATGGAATAGGGATTATAAATTCTAATTACATACTATTTGAGACAATATATTCATGTAACCTTTTTAGAAAAAATGTATAAATAGGTCACAACAGGCCATGGACTAGATTAGGGACCCAATCTTATGGGGTTCCTAGAGGCTTTTTTATAGATTAGTAAAGATTAAAGAAAACCACTCTACCCAATGGGACTCAGTGCTTAGTCTAGAAGTTCCCATTAAGCATCTCTGTGAACTAAGCTTGTCTTTTCCAGTCTATAAAGGTTTCTATAATTCTAAGAGGAAGATGAAGACTGAGTTTGCTGCATAACCCAATATTTTAAGTTTCTCATGTTGACCTGGCTGAAATAATCTATTTAATTTTTATTAAAAAACACATTTCACATTTATAACTAAAATTGTTAAAAATTCAAAAATACATGTGCTTGTTTTGTATATGTTTGTTGAAAAAAATATTCAAAATACATAAACTTGTTGTTTTTGGTGATGGTTTTGTTCTCCTCCTAATATTGCGTGGCAAAAATATCCCCTAAATATGCATGATTCATCTAGTGAATTTGAAGTAGTTCACCTCCCAATGACTTTACAGGTATCTGCTTCAATTAGCTTTGGTAAATAAAATAACTAAATCATAATTCTGTTTTCTGACATAGCTGAAAAATTAATCTGAAAAAAATCAAAATATCTAAATAAGCCAATGCTTTAAAATAAATGCCTTCTAAAATGAAACCTACATCTATCTCTGAGTTGTGAATAATATGTATTAGGGTCATATCAAACAACAAGAATGCACTTTTTGTAGAAAACAATGATTAACTTAAGGCTTCCTGCACAGTGATTTAAATTGATTTGATTTAAATCAAATCCACCCTGACCAAATCTGTTTACAGCTACTTGGGAAAATCACAAGGCAAAAGCCCCAACTGTAGTCTAATAGAAATCCAGTAGCTAAACCATAGGTCATCTCAATAATACTTTTGGTGATGTAACACAAGAAATAGTTCTAGGCTTAAGTTGGGACCTTGAACAGATTTCACTCATTGAACTATTCATGGGGCAGGGAGTAAATTCAACTTTGCCAGCTGGTTATATTGGAACTGCAACAGAAAAATTGTGTTGAGAGACAGGAGGAGACTACAGCTGGAGACAAAATGGTCCGAAGTGACTAGTAAGGGTGGATGCCCAAGCATCCACTTTGGGCCTCTTAAAAGGCATCTCAGGGTGGGCACTCAGTATTGTACATCATCTCAAATTCCTGGGTGAGAATATAGTATTACTGATCAGATTAAATGACTCGTTAAGTATGTGTCCCTATGTAGCCCATAATCCTATTGCTGGTTCATTTACAAGTGTGCTTGGTAACTAGAAGTATCCTTTAAATTTAAGCAGGCTTCTCTAAAGTTATTCCATGATAAATCTCAATTATTCCAACTGTTCCCTAATGTCTATTTGGACACTGGTGAGAAGTGTTGTATTCTGCATTGAAAGCATCTTTATGGACAGGAAAGCACATTTCTCTATATTAAAAACTACCAGGATACATTGCATAGTAGGTGTAGATATGAAAGATCAGAGAAAGATACTTAGGGTTTTGGCACAAGTACAATATAAACAATCTTCATCTTGTCACTTTCACTGTTTCCCTTTAAAAGGAGCATGAAGAAATTTATAAGATTTGTCTGTAGGGCTTAAGGTTTAGGAGTTCTAGTTCTGACAGACTATGAAGCTTTCAGCTTGTTTTAAGAACTCAACCCTACTTCCCTTGCTTAGCCCATAGGAATTCTTAGCCCAACCCTTTGGCCTCTTCAGTGTTTATTGCTACAGTTGTAAGAAAGACTTTTTTTCCTGCAATTCAGATCATTTCATTTTGTAAGCATATAAACATGTAGTGAAACCCATACAATATTCTTTGTAAATCCTGTTGCTTTCTTGGGGCTTGGGCTTGTAGAAACATTGCTAATGAATTTTGTTAGTTTAGCCAGTTTAAACTTTACAGGGCCCCTGAAAAGACCATTATAGTTTCAAATAATTTTTTTAGTAATGCTGTTTATTACCTGTTTATCATCATAACTATTTGCAGTGGCACTCTGCTTATTGTCATTCAGCTTCTAAACAGCATCCTGAATTATAATTCTTCAGTTTCATAGCTCTTTCATTTGTCATTTTGGCAGAGGCAGAGAGATATGTATGTGACGTTTTGACAGGATAGTTTTCTGCTCAGTACTGTGGTCTTGATTCTACTCTTGCACCGATATAATTCAGAGCAACCCAAAGACTTGCACCAGGGGTCTACGCTCTTTTAGGGGTGGTGGGCAAAATTAGCACCACTCACCCTAAAGGTAGGCTGCTCCAAAGGCATAACTATTAAAGGTTTGTGCCCTGGGCCAGCAACCCCTTTTCCACTGAATTCGCCTGCTGTGCCAAGGGCTGCTGCCTTAACCCCCCCCCCCCCCAGCTGTCCCTTATCCTTGCTGCTGATTTATGCAGTGGGCCATAGGTTGCTGACCCCAACTTAACACCATTTTAAGATCAAAAGCAGGGCATATTGACCCAGAATCTTGAGTTAAGTGAAGCCTTAATACTGTATTTGGATGATAAAGGTACCCTGAACTAGTACAGAACCCTGGTGCACAGCGATTTCCATGCTGTTTCACTGCCTAGCCTTTATGAGGCTCAGCTGCAAGGAGGGTTTCTGTGAACTCACCTCCAGTGTGCCACCAGCAGTGAAACCATAAAATTCCAACTTACTTGCTGCCTTCTTACAATTTTCTGGCCAGATAATGATTGTAACTGCATCTGACACATTTATTGGAAAAATGGAACAATCAGATCAGTTCCCGAAAGTTGATAGTAGCAGAAACTGCTTTATGTTATTTAAAAATTACTCCT